CCTCATGCATGCTGCTGCAGTTGTACTTGAGTTTGGACAAACAAGCCCAACTGATTATATCATACGAACTGCCGGTATCAATAAGAATCCGGCCAACCTTTAGGTTGGCCACTTTGCACTCAATAACCATGGGATCGTCATGCGACTTGCGGATATTGCCCCGGTCCTTCTCATTGATGACAACCTCTGGAAATGTCTCAGCAGACGTTTGACCATCCTTAACTGAATTGATCATGTTTCGGACATGGTCCTTGGTGCCCCTGATTGTCGGGCCGCCTGAAGCATAGCCGCCTGCAATTATAGAAATGAACCCAGGATCAGTATCTGAGCCACTATTAGTAGTTGCTGCATTTTTTGGACGGCTGTTTTGAGTCCGTCTTCAGGGTCACCTTGGACTTCAGAATGTAGGATTTCAACAATCCTTTCTCAACCAATTTATCCAACAACTACTTGAGGCTATAACAGTCATTTTTATCATGGCCTATATCCTCATGGAAATGGCAGTACTTGTTCTTGTCACGGTGCTTAGCTGGAACTTTCATTGTCGGATGCTTCTCAAAGCTCACCCGGTTCTTTATCTCCATGAGGATGGAGTAGCAATCCTTGTTAAACTCGTACTTTGGAACGTACGACTTAACTTCCTTTTTCTTTTTCTTGGACGGCTAACTAGAATCATTAATTGTCCAGACATCTTTCCTCTTTTTGCTTTCTTCATTCTTCTGAGTCGGCTATTCTTGCCAACTCCCTTTTTGTTTTTCGGATCTCTTTTGATTCGTCTGCTTACTAGAGGAGCATAGTTCATACGCCTGTATGTAGGCCTCTGCCACCCTTAGCGCTTTTGGAAAGTGAAAACCCTCTTCCGGACGAGATCGAACTTGAATTGTGATTTGTCCTTCAGAATTTTTAAAAAGTCTATGTAAGCCACTTCGTTAGGCAGCCCTTGAATCTAGATTCTCTGTAGATTTAACCTCCTGACATATGAGTGGAGCCCTTCAAGGTCTCCCTAAACAACCGCCCCCAAGTCAATACTTGTCTCTTTGGCCATTATGTTCATTGAGAAGTTAGAAGAAAATAGGAACGCAAGCATCCTAAAGTTGTTGATGCACCCAGGTGGCAGGTTGCCGAACCACTATTGGGCAATGCCCTTCAATCTGGCTGGGAAACATCGGCACCATGCAACATCATCCAACCCCTGTAAGTACATGAGGTTGGTATATGCCATTAGGTGATCTTCAAAGTTAGTGGTGTCGTCATTGGCACCAACCAAAATATTCTTAACCTTGGCAAGCTGTGCCGCCTCAGTTATTTTCTTGGAGAACGCAAAAGGTTATTCTCCGAGTTTAAGCAGACGGAGCTGTCAGTCCAAAGGTTGGACTTGATATGCCGCCTGTCCTCCGTAGAGAGCCGGCTGATGGAAAGGTTGAGCAAATGGGTCGTATGGATGATGGGGCACATGTGGCGCCGAATTGATGACATGAGGACCTGTTCGGACGGACGGGCCGCCTGACCAGGTACTCCTGTCCAGATTGAGAATTTCTCATATAGGTATTCCTGAAAGAGCTGTCTGGCATTGTCGGCGTTAATGCCGTATTAAACAACTGCTGGTTCTTCTTGTGCTCGATGAACTGTCGAGCATCAATGTAAGTCTTCTTGCTGCCATCTGGCCGAATGAGCTTTCGTTTTGACGTCTTTAAGGGACTTATCTTTATCCAGTCAATGAAGGGTTTGGTCCCCTCTTGCCGCTTGGGGTGAGGAGTGGGTTCCCTATCCTTGACGGTCTTAGGCCTCTCAGAGTGAGGAGGCTTTTTTGCTGACTATCCCTTGCTAGGGCCAACCATGTCAGTTTTGATGAGATTTTTCATCTCTCCCTTGAAGTCAGTCATGAACTTCAAGAATTCAAAACGGATGATGAGAGAAGTCGGCTCTTCAGTCGGAGACTTGCCAACTAACTTGCTCGCAGCCTTGTTTGCATTCCTCTCCCTTCAGTCTTTGGAGCGAATGTGTTTAGTGATGAGGGAACCATACATCTTCGGCCATATGCACTTCGACCTCTGGTTCCGACTTAGTATCGTGGTCCGAATGGACCTCTGCTCCATTTGGATGTTCTTGGATTTCCGGATGTGGTACAGGTGCTTCAGAATCCATGTATGAGGTACTCTCCCCACAAACGGCGCCAAATATTTTGGGGTTTCTTTATGTGTCTTACGGGAGAGTTACAACTCGAAGACTGAAATTGTTGGCGCCTGTACCTGCAACAAACGGAAGTCCCGGGGTGTTCGGGGTTCCACCTCCGACAATCAAGTTAGTACCGGATGGAGTGAAGTAAGTGCGGAAAGTAAAATATCTCTTCTCGGATCCCGAAATCTAGGTGATTTCACTGTTGTTAGAACAGGTGAATAATGTTTAAAAGTGACTGATTTGATTGTAATGAAGATTATGTCCCCCAATGGTAGTAAATATCCCTATTTATAGGGCATGGGGGAATGTGCCCTTTCTTTGATCACTTTACCTAGGAGTTTGGGCCTCGCCGTTTTAAGGCGCATTAGGATTTGGGCCTTTGAAGGCCGCCAGTCATCCCAATAATGAGGGGTGCCACGTGTCGTGCCCTGTTTAGTCCCATCGGGATAATTCTTAGGGTGATACGTGTCACTTTCCCAATGGTCTACGTATTCAGGGTATTTTTACCCTAAACATTTGCTTCTTACAGGGGTGACGTGGCAGGACACGTGGCGCTTGTGACACGTGTCAGGCGTTCAGAAGGTGACGACTATTTAAACCGTTGACCTTCCCTTTGAAATTACAGGGGTACCCTTGCTTTTACCCCTCTAAAGATAGAGGATTTACCCCCCCCCCCCCCCCCCCCCCAATTTTTACGTTTTCCAAAAGTCCATAGAGATTAGAGAAGTTGAGAGATTTTAGAGAGAGAAATTGACTTTCTGCTGTATATACCTATATTTACTACTCCTTCTGTCTCATAATACTCTCTTCGTTGACAAAAAGACCTATATACTTCCTTAGTTTTATATGGAGTAATAATTAAGTACCAGATTATAATTGGCAAGTATTGTTATTTTTTTAAAATTTTGAGAGATTTGAAGGAAGTATTATTTTAGTCAAATAATTTTGTACAAAGGAAGTATTATTTTGAGAGATTTGAAGGAAGTATTATATTAGTTAAATAATTTTGTACAAAGGAAGTATTATTTTAGTAAAAATTGGCAAGTATTGTTACATTTTAAAAATTTTGTACGAGTACGTGGTATGTTTTTAATTTAAAAATAAATAAAAATAAAAATAATAATAATAATTGTACGAGTACGTGGTGTTTGTATGGAAGGACAAATGAAATAACAAGGGGTGGGTTATGCATATCAGAAGCTGACAAATAGAGTCTATGATGCTAACTCCATCCTTTTCGGTTAAGACAGAATTGTGGGTCAAACTTTTCAGAATTGTTAGCCAATTATATTTATTCACCACTGTTTTCTGTTTTTTCCCCTTTGCAAATTTCGGTGATAACGACAGGAAATCACCTTGAGAGATTAAATATCAGGTTTCTCTTATTTTATTAATTTAGATTCCATTTTTAGTCCTTTTTTTCCTTTCATTTGTCTTAATTTTAGCTTTATTCAATCATTTAAATAACCCGTAATTAGTCTCACAAGCAACCATTTGTTAATCATTTCCCATGCAATTATTTCGTTAAATTTTTTGTTTTTTTTTTATCAATAAGAATAGACCTATATTTTCTACTCCTTCCGTTTCAAAATACATGAGACATTGGATTTTTTTTACTATTCATGCATTAACTTTGACCATAATTTTTTACTAACATAACAAAAACATATTTTATCAAAAAATTATATTGTTAGATAGATATTAATATAAAGTTTCATAATATATTTTTAAAAATAATTTTCATTTTACTTAAAAATAAAATCAAACTAGTGTATAAACATGTCTGTAATGTTGACTTTGTCATATATTCTGAACAGAATCAGAATATAAAATTATTACAAAATTGGTGTAACAGTGTTTGACAAACTTGCCAACTTTTACTATGTTTATTTAAGTAAAAAAATAAAAAAATTAATCCGTATTATGTTGATGATGATTGATGAATACATACCTTAATAATACTTAATAATGCATGCACATAAAATGAGCAAGTAATTTGATGATGAATACACCTCTTAAGCCTTAACTATACATAATGGTAATTATACATATCGAATAGCTATTGATCGAGTTTATATATATTCCATGCATATATTCAAATGCATGATATAATTATCTTAAAAAATGTTGTGAGAAGCTTAATAACTACAAGTATAACATAATAAGCATATTTGGATGTACATTATCTGATTATGTCATTTTGGTTGATGAGTGAAGAGTGATATAATAATATGTTATTTTGGTTTGAGATCAACTAAACAAGTATTTTATGCTCAAAGAACAAAATAATGTGTAGGTTGTTAAGATTTTAAATCTCATTGTCAATAGATTTTTTGAAATTAAATAATTGATCGGTTATTTAAGAATTTTAATGTTAAAAACTTTCTCACCAATAGATTTTTTTTTTAATGACATTTTGTTTGTGAAACATTAATAAGGTTTAAAGTCATTGTAAAGTAGTGTAGAAAATATAAGTAAATGTTAACCTTAGATTCATGGCTTTGTATATAATTTTTGACATATTTATATATGTTTCTTATTGTTTATACATTATTAATGCTATTTTCACAATAACTACATATTTTGTACTCCATACCATTTTAAGATGTTTATTAATTTTGTCTGATGAGTAGTCAAGCCTCAATCTTAATACAAAACGGTCCAAACTTTATTACTTTGTATGTTTTTTATTTTATTTTATTTTTTTGTTAAAAAAAACAACAAGAATTGAAAAATGACATCACCGTACCAAATTTATACGAAGTAATTAGAAACCAATTTGCTCAGACTCCCATTACTATCCCCTTTATAAATACATAGGCTTAGTTTATTGTTAAACAAACTAATGTGTCTTTTTTTTTTTGAAGAAACAAACTAATGTGTCTAATCATCCACATATAAATACTCAATCATAAACTCATACACCCATTTTACATACAATAACCCTCCACTTTTTCTACATTTTTAGAAACCAAAAAAATATAGAGAGAGAAAAATGGAGATGAATGAAGATGGCTTCTTAGAAGAATTATTAGCTCTAAGAAGAGAAGCATGGGAAACAAACCCATCATCAACAACCGTAGATCATCAAATCAACGGCTTCTTTTCATCATCCACTTGGCCATTCGACGGCCTAGATTCAACCACCACCTTATTACCCAACACCTCCACCACATCCTATGATTCCTTCTCTTCCTCCACCATTGACCACCACCCACCGCCACCCACCGCCGCCGCAACAACCACTGCCTTAGACTGTTCTTCCTTTTTCCTCCACCCTCTTTCCGCCCCATTTAACCCGACTTTCTCCGGGCCGGGCCCTGAGCCCGGCTACTCGATGTCGTCAATGATCGAGGCGGCGAATGATGACAATAATAATAATAAAAAAAAGACAAATATTCTTCCGTCATCATCATGCAAGGCGGAGCATTCTCTGTCCTCCGGTGAGCTTGAGTTTGAGGTACCCTCGCCTTCGCCTTCGGCGGCGACGGGGTTTAATGTGGGATTGTCCATGATTGATAGTAATAATAAGAGGGTTACTAGTAATGGTAATGTTAAGAGTAAAGTTAAGAAGGTTGAAGGACAACCTTCTAAGAATCTTATGGCTGAAAGGAGGAGAAGAAAGAGATTGAATGACCGTCTTTCCATGCTTAGATCCGTTGTTCCTAAGATTAGTAAGGTAATAAATTAATTTGCTTAGGCTCGTTCGGGTTATAATAGTCACGACAATAATGTAATTTGAATTAGTAATGCAAGAGTAAGATTTTTACGGATGTGATGAGAGTAATATGTTGATTAATTACTATACTACTATTAATTGATTGATTTGTAATGTGGATTAATTTGTTATATGTTTGGTGTAGATGGATAGAACATCTATACTTGGTGATACAATTGATTATATGAAGGAGCTATTAGAAAGGATTAACAAGTTGCAAGAAGAGATAGATGTGGGTTCTAACAATAATCAATTGAATGTTATGAGCATTTTCAAAGATGCCAAGCCAAATGATGTCCTTGTCAGGAACTCACCAAAGGTATCATTACAATTTGATTCTAATTTACAGTTTTTTCTCATATTATTTGCGTTTTATTTACTATGCTACTTTTATTGTCTTATACTTTTATATTTTTAGTTGACAAATTTCAAATTACTCTGTATAATTTTGTGCAATCTTGTTAAAATTATTTCAATAGTAATATATTTATATTAGTGCTAAGTTAATGTAATCTAGCTCCTATTTTCTTTAATAAATTAGATTTTTAGGGACGAAACAAATTAAGGGCGGTGAAGTCCGGACAAGGATAGGCATGAGTTGATAGGTTACTCGTATAACCCATTCGATTATATGGATCAAAACATCCCACTACTTAAGGGCATACCTAGATTTTGGGGCAAATTGGGATAGGGCATGAATTAATTAGGTTATTTATGAAGGCCCCAATCGATTATAGAGGTCAAAACATTCCACTACTTGTAATTAATTTATCTTGTGTAGGCCCCATTTAATTATATGAGTCAAAACATCCTATCACTTAGGAGCTAAACAAAATTTGGGGGTCAATCAACATGGGTCATTAGGTTACTTGTAGTCATGTAAGAGGGGCCCATTGAATTATATGGGTCATACCCCACGGGTTAAATAATCACCTAATTTTTTTCATATTTAAAATAATTCGTATTTATTCCAGTTGTAAATTGAATTTGAATAGCCCACTTTAAACTAATCATCAATCGATCAATAATAATTATATACTAAAAGGCACACTAGTAATGACACGTGTTATCTTTTAGTGTGTCTTTAGCATTTTTTTTTAAAAAAAAATTGATAGAGAATATTCTCAAAATATTTACTTCCAAAATTTAGAAAAAAAAAATCGTGAAATAATACCAACTTAGAGTCTTAGATATCTATTATCTAACCATAACTTGATATAAATTCCTATAAAAGTAATTACTTTTTAATATATAATGAATATTTATAGCAAAAAAATCATGAATATATATCTTTTCAACCTAACATAATTGGAGAATGAAAATTATCAAATGTGAAATAAAAAGGAAAAAGATATATGCAGCCTAATATAAGAAGCTAAAAGTGGAAAGAATAGACAATAAATAACCATTAATTACACCGATTTACTAGTAAATTGTCGATAAATTCCCAACTTAATACTAAAAAAAGATGTATATTAAATGCTTATGCATATATCATTAATTACACTAATTTGCACTTAATTTTGTTATACATTCCTAAACTAATACAGAGTACCAAATAAGGAGAGATGGTTAATGCTTATTTGTAACCCTAAGTGTTATATATAGCATTACCCTAAAAATAAATATGCCATCAGGGCTCAAAATAGAAGAAAGTTTGAATAATATTTTAAGTTGATTGATTTGGGATCAAATAAGAAATAGATTTTAATTTGGATCAAATTATTTTTTATATTTAAATATATAGTTTTAAATTGATACTCCATAACAAAGAGTAAAAAACCGTGCATGGCACGGGATCTAACCTAATATTTATAATTTTACAAGCTTTATCTTGGCATCATTCTTTGATTATTTTTAATAAGTGAATATGAAATGAACAAGTTGAAAATAAAAGATGTTTGACTCCCTATTCAACAAATCATAAGTTTAAAAACGATGCAAAACTATGTAACAAATCCTTCTAATCCCCCGATCTAGCTTGCATACGGAGTAAATATACAAATTATTTGGTTACTTCCTTTTAAAAGTTTGATCACGACTCGTCAGTTTTTGTATCATGTCTTTATCTCAATTTGACTCACAAATTGATCAAGTGAGCTCTATATAATTTTGAGAATGTTGTAATTCATGCAGTTTGATGTAGAGAGGAGAAACTTGGATACAAGGGTGGAGATTTGTTGTGCAGGGAAACCTGGACTTCTACTATCAACTGTAGCTACACTAGAAGCATTGGGTCTTGAAATACAACAATGTGTTATAAGTTGTTTTAATGATTTTTCACTACAAGCTTCATGCTGTGAGGTATAATTTTTGTAAATAGATTGATTCAATTCATACTAATTTTTTTATAATTTTTTCTAACTTTTTTAACAATGAATTCTCACTTTGGAAAAATTTTCTTTAGGAAATGGAACAAAAGTCGTTGATAAATTCAGAAGAAATAAAACAAGCATTGTTTAGAAATGCAGGGTATGGAGGAAGGTGCTTGTAGGTATTTTGCGAAGAGAGAAAAAGAAAATCTCTTCCTCAATTTTTTTTTTTTTTTTTTTTTTTTTTTTTTTTTTTTTCTAATATTTTCATTGAATAATTTGCAATATATTGACAAAAGAAAAACCTCCCACATGTATTGCTTTTTTTTTTTTCCAAAGAGTTACTCTTTGATGCTTGTTTCTCAAGTTTAGTGACATAAGAAAGATTTCTTGTACCATATCAAATGAAAGTATGCTTTAGTTTAGTCTTTTAATTACTTTGAAAATAATCTTGGGGATCGAAAAGCTTGCATGATTCATCAATTAATATTTGTAATTTTTCACCTACACCCCTATGTAGATAGTGTTGTCAACATCCCTCTTTCTCTTATAATGACGTAATTTCACTACTACATTTTTGACCTATTGCAACCCTCATTTCCGTTGCATTAGGCGTCAAAATCCGTGGCATTAGGCCTAATGCAACGACCATGTACCATGACATCTGAAGGCGTTGCAGTAGGTCTAATGCAACGACATATGACACCTAATGCTACGGCATCAATGATCCGTTGCATTAGATCAACACCTGATGCAACGGCAACATTATTGCCGTGGCATTAGCTATAATATCTAATGCCACGGTTTCCTATACCTAATGCCACGGTTCCCTATACCCTAATGCCAATAATAATAATAATAATAATAATAATTAAGACGATTAAATTGGAATTTCATTAATATAAATTGAAGGTTTGTACATTATTGCCCTTAAGGGGAAAGTTACAAAATCAAATTTCACTAATTAATTAATTGAGAAAAAAAAAAAACCTATCAAAGCTAAATCACTGTTCCCAAATACAATATTTTCAACATTTGTTTGGTTGCTACAACATATACTACAAAAACCAAAATCTATCTTGAAGCCGGAGAGAGAGAGATGTTTTGTAGCCGGAGAGAGAGTTGTCATCGTCTGCAAGGCAGCAAGTCAGTAAAATTACAGCAGGGGCAACAACAACATTTAAAGCAGGGCAGTAGCAACATTATAGAGTAGATGCAGTAGCAGATTATATAGTAGAAACGACAACATCAATATACAAGGTAAAAGGAATAGCAGCAAGCACCACCCAAACAACATAACAATTTAACAACAGCGGTTTAAACCAATAACATGGCACTACAACTAAAAATACCCTTGCTTCGTATAAGGTAAATCCGAGGTAATCCCAATACACCTTAAAAAGTTATCTAAAACTATTAATCTAAATAGAGATATTCAGGAAAAGAAAAAAATCAACTAAATTCTAGTATAATTACAAGATAGAGATTTAGTAAAGGAAAATTTAGTTTGGAATCAAGAGTAAAAACTAAGAAAGCTAAGAACTCACAAGGGGTTAGAGAGATACATATATAGAACAAACCTGCAAATGAGGGAGATTGGGGTTAGTACATTCCAAACCGAAAAATAAGGAAATTTTAACACATATCACCAATATTTGGATTTTCATGACACAAGTTTATTAAAAAAAAAAAGGTTCTTGTAATTCTTTTATCTAAATCAAACCAATATTGTTAACGGAATAAGTAATAAAGGGACCAGCGCTCTAATAGTTGTTGATAGGGCTTTAAAGCTTAGATTGGACCTAAGTAGCTAGTTTGATCTAACATAACTATTTTTGTTCCTAGAGCAATTTAGGTATAATAGATGCTATAATATAAAAGAAATATGAAAAAGAAAGCTTCAGCCGCCAAAAATTAAGTATCAAATAAAAAAGAAATAACATTTAGAGCTTAATTGAATTGGTGCCATATGAATCTGAACTTCTAATCGTGTGTGACAGCAAGGTTAAGTTACTGCCAACCTAATTTCCATAGCTTCATCTTATTCAAACTTTCAAGGATAAAAACCTTACACTTATAGCAAACAAGTAGCTAAACTACTTTCTCCCAAAGTATACTATTAAGTACTGTATATTTTAAGAACCACCACCATAGTATACAACATGGTAGCAGCAACATCTGAGCAAGCAATAACATAACAATAGGCAGCATTAACTATCAGCAGCAGCTAGACATCATAATTACTACCATTGCATGACTACACATCACAAACAAGCCACCTTTGCCAAATGATGAATTGAAATGAACCAACATTACATCAATTTCTTAGATTTGACAACATTACAATTTAGCAACTAGAAATAAACAACCAAAATGTTCAAATCATCAAACCAATATTAAAATTACAAGAAAAACATAAAAAACATAAAAATGAAGAGAAAAAAAACATACCAGATCCATGACAAACTCCATAAGATTCAAAAAGCAGAAGTAGCATCATAAATTGAACCCTTATACTCGGTTCCCTAACAATAATAAACTTAAACTTTTATTCAACTAGCACATCTTCTTCATTGCTAATGCATAAATTCAAAACCATCACCAACATACCAAACCTTTTCCCCCATAACTCTGCACATACTCTTTCCACCCATCCTTGAACTCATACTCGTCGAGCCGCAGCGAGAGAACACTGACGAACGTCATAAGGCAAAATCATTGTTGCCGGCAAGAAAAACACGCTTTTAATTTGGGTAGAACATGTTTGACATATGAAGTTTGCAAAATGAAGAGAAAACAGATGATTAATGAACATATTGTCATTCTTATAGGCGAATTCAACAAAGGTGTGATAAATTAAAAACCCTAATTACATAAATTGAGGGACGAATGGAAATTTAGGACCCTAATTACATAATTCAGATGAATACAAATTAAAGGAACTGGCTTACATTCTCGCCTAATGAGCATTGCCATTTACCAAGGCATGAGCGCAGTCGTTCGTTGTTGCCTGAGCATCGCCGTTCATCGTAGTCTAAGATTCCCTCGCCATGTCCTGCCTTCCAATTGAAATTAAGTTCATTTGTGAAAATTGGAGAAGCAATTTGGTGGGAATAATTCTATGAAGCATCAATTTATAAAGCCTGCATTCGATTAATTTACCCACACTACCTTAACTATTTATGAAGAACTGGAGTAAAACCATCCCTTACCACAAAATGCAACCACAAAATTTCAATTAATAAATCTCAAAACGAATATTCGTTTTATACCTTGAACAGAAATTCGAGCAATCAGCTCAAGGAAGGGACATGCAAGATGAAAATGAGAGCGCTTGAGTGCCGCTATCAGCCACCACCGCCTGAGTGCCGCCTTCGTCAACTTCCTCAGATTTCTTTGCTTATTTTCCTCTTAGAATTTTTTAGTAATTTTTTTCGTAATTTTCCTCTCAGAATTTGGAAGTAATTATGGAGAATTGAAGCAAATATGAGAATTAGGGAAAATAGAGAATTGGAGAAAATGGAGAAAACGTGTACTTTGATAAAATGGGTACTGTGAGAATGGGTAATGTGAGAATGCGTTGTGAATAGAGGGAAGTAACACGTGTTGTTCAAAAATTTGGGGAAAAAAATAGAGGGAAGTAATCGCGCGCTTTTAAATTTTTCATCATACAACACATACCGTTGCATCAACTCTCATTTTTGTTAAAATAGCTAGGCTAATGCAACGGCTCTTTAGAGCCGTGGCAATAGCTCTACCTCTAAGAACATTAGTGTTAAATCCGTGGCAATAGCATACTCTATTGCAACGACAATTAAAATACCGTTGTATTAGCCTTTATTAGGCCCTTGCATTTGGTCAAAAATGTAGTAGTGTTTGTTGTTTATCCACTTTTAAATCACCTATGAAATGTTCATTTTTATGTTTTGTTTCTATGAAGTGCGTTATTTAAGAGCTCGTTCATCTTTTTATTTTTATTTTTTATTTTTATTTGAAAACTAAAAACAAAAATAGGTAACCATTTTTGTCTGTTGTCAATTTTCAAAATAATTACGATTTTAATAAATTAGACTTATTTTTATTCTCTTTATAACATATTATGACTTTCAAAATCAAAAAATCGAAAGCTGCAGTGATGCCGAATGGACCCTAAATTATTATTTGATCTTTTGTGTTTTTGTTTTCCAAATGTTTAATTTTTTTAGTAATTTATCTTTTATTTAGCTAATTTATATACAGTATTGTTTGGAAAAAAAAAATTTAGTATAAAATAAATTAATTCAATTATAATAATACATCAATCTTAACTATTATATACGGAGTATAATTGTTTCTTAAGTGTAAAAGAAAATGTCTTTAACTTCTTAAATGTACAAATGCCTAGAACAATAACATCTACTAATAATATAGACTTATTATCCCTCTTATAAGTCTTATTGCATGCTTAGTCCATTGTTGTCACGTGTTTTCCTAGAAAAATATAACCTCGACATAATATATTATCACCCAACCTCAATTTATTTCCTTACTTGATACAATGAGATATTATTCTTTCAAAAAATAAAAATAGAATAAAAATAATAAAAAAATTCTTATATGTGGTTACATTAAAATATTGTTAAAAATCTCCCTTAAAATACAGGGCGCTCTGTTTCCTTGAGACGACAGGAAACCCTAACCTCGAGGAGGTTAATTCTCATCCATGGCTGATGATCTAGTAGACAGATGTAAGACGTTACAAATTAGCGACAAAGAAGAGATTCTAGACGTGAGTGAGTTGGATGTTTCAGATTCTTCAAAAAGGGTTTCCTATTGCTTGTAGGGAAATTGATCACAGATCGTAATTTCAATGTGGAGGCTTTCAAAAAGACTATGGTTCAATCATGGTATGTTTCAACGAAGATTATCATCAGGATGGTAAGCCCTAACCTATTCGTTTTCCAGTTTTTCCATTGGAAAGATAAAGAGCGAATACTTGATGGTAGACCATGGTGCTTCGAAAATCATCTTCTTGTTCTTAATGATGTGGGTGGGAGTGAACAGCAAGCAGATGTACCTTTAACACATTCACCCTTTTAGATTCGAATTCTAGACTTGCCCTTCAACTATCGATCGGATGCCATAGCAAAAGTGATTGATGGGAGATTGGGCGAATTTGTTGACGTAGAACAGGACGAATTAGGGCTGGAGGATTTCAGACGAATAAAAATTAATCTTGATATTTCGAAACTCCTTAAACAGAATTTGGAAGTCAAGGTTAAAGATGGGAGGGTTCTCAAATTCAGACTCAAGTATGAGAGGCTTCCTTATTTTTGTTGTGTGGAATAATTGGGCATAGTGAGAAGGATTGTGGGGAATTATTTATAGAGGAGCAGAAGAGAAGAGGGCTAGGGTGGTCCACCGGAATTCGTGCTACTCCACGAAGAGGAAAGTCAAAATTACTGGAAGAAATTGATGAAGTGAAGGCTTGCAGGAAAATTCTTTTTGTTACAAAACCAGCAACAGTGGTGATCTCTGTAAAATCCCATGATCATG